GTGTAATAAGTGAGATTTTCACCAACAAGCAAGCCCAAACTAACATTTACATACCATAGGCCAATTAGTAGACCTCTCATGTGATATGGAGATTGTGCTATCACAAATTCAAGGGATGTAACGAAGACTAAGCTGTATGAAATAGCATAAAGAATATATGGAGGTATAGTCCAATAGGAGCTAAAAATTGGAATTACTGATGCATTATCTGCAGTTACTGTTTCATTATTGATGAATTCAGTTTCATTGTAGACATTTGATTTCAAATAAGCAACTGCTTCAATGGCAGCAAATGAGACACAGCTTAAAAATAGTAGTACCAGTCCAGCTGTAATCCTTTTAAGCATACTGGATAGAAAATGGTTACAATTCCAATGAAGTAGAAACTTGTATAGAACAATGTATGTGATTGATATTATAAAGCGTATTACATAAAACTGAAAAAGGCATAATGAATCCTCTTCCTTTATGTACTCAGAATTGTCAAATATTTCCATTGATGTTGCATAGCCAAATACACATATTAATAAAGGTGCTATTCTGAATGTTGTTTTCACATCTTCTACCTCCTCCTCTTTGAATGGTCCACCAAATTTTTCTTCAGCTAAGTCCAGTCGTGAGGGAGCCTTATCCTCCCAGTAAGTAAAAGCACTGCGATTCTCAGGATATTTGTGCTTTTTAGCATAGCACATTACTCTGACTACCAGTTTGACTGGATTTAGTTTGTTGACTTCTCTCGGTCCTTGAAATATCTTCCTCAAAATGATATGTGATGCAATAAAAACACCATCAATAATAAAGATAGTGGCTACTTGAACTATGATTACCTTATCAAAGTGGTATCGCGTGAGTACACAGTAGAACAAGTGGTAAACTAATGCCGGAGATATGATTGTGAGGAAATGCTTATAAATGACTGAGCTTAATTCTCTTGAGGAAGCTCCTCTAATTACAAGAACTTCAATGTAATACAGAACAATAGTGGCATATAAGAGACCAAAAGCCCTTATTATCATACCAGGTACAAATTGATTTATTTACTACAATAAACATGTATTAGATTGTTGATTTGTTTTGCATACAATGAAAGTTTATCAGTGTAACCATAGACACTACATGTGTAACTGCATGCATTGTATTTTCTTTACACAGAAGCCATTGATTAAAAATCCTCTTGGCAACACAGGTACATAATTGTGCTTTGAGTGCTTTCATTTAGTAATGAAGTGTTTGTTTGTACAGCAAAGATATATTAAGTTTATAAAGGAATTTTGCAAGTTCAGGAGAAATGGCAGTCATCAGAAGAAGAAGCACTGTCCTTTTTCTGTTCGGTTTGCTCCTCTTTTACTCAGAAACGGTTTTATCAGATTTGATATGTGTTGGGGATGAGCACTCTGATGACTACTCTGCCCCTGGTCCTAAACCAAACTGCTCCAGGTTAGTAAGTAATCTTGTTGAAGCAACCCAAGAAATCGCCCACCACAGCACGATAATGCTTCTGAGGGGCGAGGAAGTTATCAGTTTGTCTGTAATAATGATAGAGAATCTTGTCAACATCAATGTAACATCGATTAAGAGTACACGGATTGTGTGTGATCAGCATTCTGTTGGGTCAGGCATCACTTTTATCAACGTTACAAACTTAACACTAAGCCATATCACTGTAGAGAGTTGTGGTGCTTTGCATAATGTCAGTTACGTCACAGACAAGGGGAAGCCAGAATATAATTTTTCTTCTGCTGTCTATTTAGAAAACTGTACAAATATTGACATTGGCTACATCGAAGTGAGTGACAGTTATGGTACTGGACTTTGTATTTTTAATAGCAATGGCTTCATTACCATACATCATTCCTTGTTTATTAACAATACCGTTATAAATGGTAGTGTTGATACATCAGAGTTACTTCTTGGTGGTGGTGGGATTTATTTTGAACTTAGTGAGTGTAGTCCACAATGGGAAGACTGTGATCCTTACTCCAACACATACAACATTAATAACACTATTAACATAAACAACTGTATTATTGCTTATAATTCTGTCCTAGCAGATCCTGATAGCATTCAGTTTACTAATTTTCGTGGGGGTGGGTTGATATTCTGGATCCGTGGTACATCAAAGAACAACACAGCAGTGATAGAGGATAGTATTTTTGAAGGTAACACAGGATTATATGGGGGTGGATTATTTGTGCAGTTTTATGGCAAACCAACTAATAATAGTGTTACCATTAAGAATATTACCTCAAAAGACAACGTGGCAGAACTAGGCGGTGGTGGAATAGATCTTGGTTATTATTCATTTAGACCGCATCTTAATAGGCACAATAATATTACTGTAATCTCTAGTATTATAATGAACAACAAAGCAATTTTTGGTGGTGGAAATGCTTTTTTCTCAACACTAGTCACTAATACTGATCCAAACAATCGAGTTGAGTTTTATGATACTCTTTGGAGATTGAACAGAGCTGCATACGGGTCAGCTGTATACCTAGAGCCTGTTATAAATGATGTTCCTGCTAACAGTTTCTTTCCAATACCTCATTTTACTAACTGTAACTTTACACAAAATTTTATTATTGATAATGAGTCTGATAGTTCAGCTGGTGTGAGCGTGTCTTCAGTTGGTGCTGGTGCCAT